TGATCCCCCGAAACGATATACGCACCATCTCGGACGAGAAAGAAAATATATATCCGCACAATTCGTCCGCACTAACCGAAATTCGCTGCACACGCAGCCCCGAAGGACCTGCCACGCAGCGACAGCGCGAAGGAGCGCGTTCCGTTTCCCGCCCTCGCACCCATTAGTAATGGTAATGGCCGCGAGATGGCGCTGACGCAAGAGAAAAAAGGGTAGCGGCAAGTAAGGGGTTTTGGTAGCCGAGGGGGAAAAGCGCGGTTATTACCACCGCCCCCTAGCTCGAAATCGGAGTCTCTCGCCCCCAAGGGGGCATACGCGGGGACAGCTGACATAATGAAGCCAGCCTGCCCTTTCCTTCTCCCGCCGCACTTTTTCCTCTCTCCGCTTTGGGCCATTAGCTCGAGCTCGAGACGGGACGACGAGAGCGCGCGTTGCTGAATTGACAGCTGAGCGAGCATCGGGTGGCTTTCGTCCTGTGTCTTTTGGGTCGGACTCGCAGTAAGGCTTGTCTGCATTGTTGATGAAAGAATGATGCGGGAGGGAGATGAGTTATATCCCCTCAGGGTATCGCCCGATGACAATGTTTCGCTGGTCCGCACGCGGATGGAGTGGCAGAAGAATTGAGGGTGAGGAGAGTGCTGGTCAGAGGAGATGAATTGGGAGACGTTCTGCCGGCGATAGGCCATGTAGGAATGACCAGCTTTAGCTTTGACTTTTGTTGGACTACTCGAGGCTCGAGAAGGCGGCAGTGGAGAGGGAAATGATGGGGATGGATGAGTGAAGCAGAAGTGTGTCCGGGTGTCCGGAGGTTCCAGTCTCCTGGCGTTGATGAATCGAGTTTATTGCATCGATGCATGGGGCTCGGGACGTGAATATGTTCTGTAGCTCTATAAGAATGCGATGGACTTCCGGCATCCGACGCCCATGGTACTAGCATTAACGACGTTCCACTAGAGACTGTTCCAGCATAACTTGGCAAAAGGAAAAGGGAGCCGACAACGTTTCTCACTCTAGGCAGTCGACCACAAAAAACATGAAGTTATAAATTGCTTGCTCTGGAGGCACACATACGTCTAGAGGTGCCACATAGTGTTTATAAAGTCAAATTAATGCGCCCGGAATGTACAGGTGTATAGGCATTTCTATTTCTTACAGATACAAAGCCAGTCGCATACAACAGAGCGTGCTTTGCCTAAGTCACTATGTGATTTGCTTAAGTCATAACGTTAGAGTTGGTTGGAGCATGTTGCCATAACTTTGTTCGTGAATTGACTTTTTTTGCGGTGTAGATTAAAGCCGAAAACAATTTCAGTGCTACAAAATCTAAGGCTGACCCGAACGTAAACATAGACCACGCTTGTGTCTTTAAATTTTGAACAGAAAGCTTTATTATTACGAGCAAGAGTACGTGCTATCTTTGCCCGAACATAAGCGACGAGTAAACACAAAGGCAGCGCAAGCGGGCTAAGATGAAACTAATTAAAACAGAAAACAGCAAAATCGATCAAACCTTGGCGATGGAAAGACCATAACTTTAATTACCTTTTGTAAGCAAAAAGGGGGGGGGGGGGGGGGGAGGGGGGTCTGCGCTTGATCAGGAGCAGCGCCTAATAATGGACAGTTCCCTCCCCACGCGTGAAAACTTGTAATTAAAATTCCGTTCCCTAGCTTTTTTTTTCTGAGTTTTTGTGCCTAAGTTTCTGATTGCAGCCTAATTCCATAGCGCCATCTTGTGGTAGCAGCAATAACCGTATAAACTTCGCCATGCTGCGACGTACCACCAAGAAACACTTTCCGTGCTCATTACTGAAAGAAGAGCGAGCTCTCTATTAAATTTAAAATTCTGGCCCTCTTTAGAATTTTGTTCGAGTGAAAGTCTGGGAAGGTTCTAGCGTCGGCGAAGATTCCTTAGCGGTGCGCGCGCGCTTGGTTCAATGACTTGGGAGGCTATGCACGGAACTTTGAGCCTCTATGGTATTTCTGTACGTTGTCAAAGAGACTCCGAGACATTCATGAAATGAATGCCTAATGACTTCGCGTCGGTATGTGATTTTTTTTAAAGTGTACTTTGCGGTGCATCTCTTCTGGACCAAGTTAACAACAACAACAATGAGAGTATGCAGATATGTTCCTTCAGTATTCAGGAGGAAAGCACAACCGAGGCGATAAAGTGAAACGTGACAACTCCTGAATAGTTATGTCTGTAAACATTAATTGTTTATTGGAAAAAAAAAAGCACCGTTATTTGTCGCGGGTTTCTCGACGGCTAGTGTCTGTAAAGTTTCCAGACACCGGCTGCGGCTAAGCAATTTGGTTATGTTGCAATTTAAATTCAATTACACCGTTTGGAACAGTGTCTTGACTAACCAATAAATGGGTTAGGGAAGCTGCAAGCCACGACCTATAAGGGGGGTTCTTGAGTTCTAGAGGTGTCAAGCACGTACCATCAGTTATCGCCACATCGGTTTTTGGTGGATATATTTTTGTTCGGGCAGCGTCTGAGAAAATGTCGGGCTTTGAAACCGTCCGAATTTGATGCGCGTAGGTATCCGATTTGGAAGGTTTCACATCAATTTTGGGTACCGACGAACCGTGGGACTGTCAACAATGAGAAATCGTCCTATGACGCGGCGCGAAACAGAGCATATTTGTGACTTTTAGTATTGCGTATTCGCGACTCCAGCGAACTATAGGATGCGCGCTGCTCAGGCAAAATAGCGGACGAAAGGAGGTCGTTTTCGTCGTTCAGCACGCGGATTACCACGAATTCCTGCACTGCAGCGTAAAATCAGTGTTACATTTGAAAGAAAAGCGATTTTTCAACGGTAGAAACTTTCTCCTAGTCAGTGCGTAGGAATGACAAGGTGGAATCATAAAAATATTTACTGGAAATGTTGTTTGTTTTATGCTGCCTACGAGAACCAAGCAACGGTAGCAGGCGACAGAGTAGAAACGACCTCCTCTCCTGGGCTTCTCGGCGCTGCCGCTACGCGGCATCGACTTCGCTGGAGTCGCAAATAAGCGCAGACGCAAGCACTGTGCGTTTGCACCAGGGTTGCGTGTTTTACGCTGCACGGGAGCCCAGCCTGCGTTTTGGATTTGCGCATGGCGACGACGAGCATGTGAAGTGGGAAACACGCAACGCTAAGGCAAACGCACAGTGCTTGCGTTGGTTCCTATAGACCGACGCGCTGTTTACAAACAAGCCCTCGTTTGCCCACACCAGGTGTGTGCACTGCGCGTGCGCAGAAACCGATTTCACATGAAGTGAATCGTCTGCGCATGCACAGTGCCGCCGACAGCGCCACCGCAGCTGTGTGACGTCACAGCCGTGTGTTAGTCTATACTCAACACTAAAATTCTCTATTGTTTGCCTCTTCTCCCTCTTCAGCGCTTGTTCTATGTGCGCTGTAAGCCGACCATGTCGTATGTGGATAAGAAGCTAGCCCAGAATCAAATTTTCCATACAGTTATTTCCTAAAGACAGTGTGCGACAAAGTTAAGAGGAACAACCAATTGCAGTTTTTAGAGCGCAGCTCTTAGGCGCCCGTTTCGCGCGTCGGCTTCGGCGTAACCGCCCCGCTAAATTTAGCGGGAAATTGAATTGGTGTTAAGGTCACGTGGCGTCACTTTTCCAGCTAAATCTAGCGGAGAAACTGTATTTGTTCGTGGGTGACGTGTCACGAAGTCATGTGACGTCATTTTCCCTGCTAAATTTAGCGGGGAGACTTAACCCGCTAAATTTAGCCTGAGCATTTTCCCCGCTAAATTTAGAGGAGAAATTTTTTCCGCTAAGCGTAGCGGGTTTGGGAGGAAGAGGGAAGGGTACGAAGGCAGGGGTTTCCCCAGGATTCTAATCAAGGGGGGGTGTCCGAATGGCTCGGGGGGGGGGGGGGGGGGGAGGCGAGGCGGGGAGGCGATGTGAGGCGAGGCTAGATAAAATATAAAACTGTTTCTTTTTTAGTCCACTAGCTAAATTACAGACGTCTATTCACCAAATGCTCATACCCGTAATGTATGTTTCCCTTTCTCTATATATACACCTAAGAGGTGGTGTTTTCTACTTAATCTGAAAAAAAAAATTTATTTTATTTTTTCCTTTTTTTTTTACGTTCCAGGAAAACTAGGGGGGGTCTCAACCCCCCTAGGGGGGGTCTAGGGAAATCCCTGTACGAAGGGGCGTAACCTCCCCTCCTCCTCCCCAAGAGCCGCGCTCTAATTTCGCATTACAGAGATTTGTAAACGTGTCTTTTTTTTCACATATTCTCTCACTGCAGTACTGTTGTCACGAAACTACTAGTGAAATGAAATATACTTATCTTGGTCACCAAGTCAAGTGTCCGTCACTATAAAATCATCACGAATAAGAGCCAATGCCCTGCGTGTGAGCGAAAAATGTACCTATTGCTGAAAAAAAGAGAAAAAAAAACTAATTACTCGTTACTCGTTTGAAAAGTAAGAAAGTACATTCCTCGTTACTGAGATTAAAAGGGAATGCGTTACTTTAACTCAAACGTAACAGTTTACTTTCCGTTACTTTGAATGTGCCGTTTTTCAGCGGCACATTCTTGTTGCTTGTTGACACATTCACGAGCATCTTTTTTATCCTTTCTTGTTGGCGCTTCGTCTTTTTTTTTTTTTACCATGACAATCACATGCGTGAGCTGGAGTGTAAACCAAATGGTGTAACTAGTGATGTACGTTCCTCTCCAGAAGTAACTAAATACTGTTACTCGTTATTCAACCAAAAGTAACGAATATACGTTACTCATACCTTTTCTCAAAAAGTATCTAAACCGTTACTTCCTTACCGGAAAAAAGTAACTTAACGCGTTACGTACAAATCTGATTTGAGCTAACTGTGTCGCGTAGGGTACCTTCAAGCTTACCTGGTGGAACTCGCATCTCGCCGAATTAAGCTGCCTCGTCCTAAGGTTGTTCACGTCGTGGAGCTCACAAAGTCACACGTTGTCCCGGGTGTTCCCCTTCCCCTTTTCCAGAAAGGCCGTGCGTGCGGCACTGGTCGTTCGAGCGGGTGCCCCGGTTCCAACTGGTCGGCTTCGAAGACCGGACGGTGCCCCACGTGGGCGACCAGGACTCGTGCCTGCGGCTGTGCGCGACCGAGACGAGCTTCGTGTGCCGCTCGACCCGCTACGAGGCGTCCAAGGAGCGCTGCGTCCTTAGCAAGCACGACAGGAGGACGGCCGCCGAGTCCTTCAGGAAGACCGGCGCCTCGTCGGACCTCCTGTACAGCGAGAACCAGTGCGTCTCCGGTGAGTGAATCTCCGGAGAAGTATCGGTGTTCTTTAAGTCGCCGCCCTCACGCATACGCCGTACAAAAGACGCGGAGTTTCTCTGCGGACAGAATGGCAGAATTGTCCGCGGACTACACCTCACGCTCACGGTTACTTGAAGGCAGTTTGCTTCAGACGCAGGTGTGCTTCGAGCGTTTGTTCAGACTGTTCTTCGATGACCAACGCGAAAGAACGCGCTTCAGCCAGTGTCTACAGACTGTCTTTTTTACGATGTATTCGCGGTGTTACCGTGGCGTCCTAAAGGCTGGTTCGCACATTTGTGTTCGGGCGCGTGCGACTGACTGCCAACACGACAGCTTGTTACTACTCGTGACGTTGCAGTTGCTGTGGGAACGAGGCTGCGCTGTGGCGTGGCGCTCAGCATCATATAGCGCAGACTGTTTTTGTTTTTGTTATTTAGGTATATCTGTATTCCTTTTCTTTTTTTTTTGTAGATTTTATTTGTGTTGTTAGCCTCCTCGTTTACCGAGCTCTCCTTCTTAGATTGTAGCAGTTGGTTTTCCCAAGTGCTTTGCCGGAAAGTCGACGCTCCAAATGTTTTAAGGCTCGTTCAAGCGCTTGCAACGGAGTAGGACCGGCCAAAAACAAAAATGTTTCTTAAGCCTCTTGTGAAGGCTGAGGACCTGCTCCACAGCCGCGCATCTGGTCCTACGCCGTTGCAAGAGGCAGAAAAACCGGTCTTGTCTCAGTCGGTCCTACTCGGTTGCAAGTGTGTGAACGGGCCTTTAAAGTAACCAGAGCAACGTTAAAGGAACCGCAAGGGGCCTGTTGTCAACGGCAGGAGTCAGGATAGGGACTGGGATTTTTGACAGAGCACGGCCCGAAGATGGAAGCATTTCATCGAGACATTTTGTCAATTTTAAATATAAAAGAAAAACGTGATCTTAGATTTGTCGTTTTTTTTAATCAATTAGTAACATACAACACGCAGTAACAGGAGCCCGGGGTTTACCTTAATGTCACCTCAGGGTCTCAGACGTGTATCCGAAGTCTGTCTTACCCTGCTCCTTTATGAGGCCGTCACCATGGGGAATCCCCATGCCTGCTCTTTGCCGCGGCGCTCCACCAATAACCATGAAAAGATGATTATGATCATCCGCCGTGTTTATTTCGATATGTGAGGTGTAGATTTCTAACCCTGGGTGTATAGTTCTTTTTTTTTTTCTTCCTGTAAATTCTAACGTGCCGGTCATATCCGTAGTTTTCTTTTCTTTTAATGCGTAGTTTTTATAGGGCCAGCTTTTAGCGCTGTCTTGTTCACGCGTGGCATGCAGCCTCGATGGTGACGTCAAGCTCATGAAATCACGGTGTTCACAACAGTTGGTGTCTGACCGTGGGGCTGGAGTTGTTATGAGTCGTAAGAAAGTAAACTCTCGGGTCATCGGTTTTACGTCACACCGTGACGTGGCGTGGCGCTTTGACGTAGCTTAACCTGACGTTACCTGACCACGTGCTTACGTTATGGTCAAGTATCACCGCCGTGACCTCCGAGGGGACCTACAATACCAAAACGGACGAGCAGTTTTCTTCATTTTTTTTTTTATAGTAGACAGAATGATTCCAGGTGCAATGGTGAAATTTATTATTTCGTTGGATATCCTTTAAGGTATAAATTAAGTTGGTTTCATTTAAGATATCTTCTAATGTATTATTTCGCTTATTATAGTGCAAGATATCCTTTATGACTTCTGTTTATTTTTTGCTTTTTTTTTCGATGACGCGTTGCAGAGCCTCCTCGATGCCAGTTCCGTCCACTGCGCGGCCGCTCTCTGAGTCGGGGCCACGTGTTCGTGGACGAGACGTCCACGTCCCACACGCTGTGCCAGGCGTCGTGCGTGAACCACACGGACTTCGTGTGCCGGAGTTTCGTGTACGACCAGTCGCGGCACCTGTGCCTGCTCAGTCCCGACGACAGCTACACGACGCCCGTGCAGGAGGCGCACGCCGACTCCGCCGCCGTCGGGACGACCGAGACCAACACCCTCTACGAGAAGGGGTCCTGCATCGACGGTACGTCAGCTTCACGCTTGATTCACTCGATCAAAAAAAGTCGCCTTCGCCTTTAGATTCTCTCAAAGGACGCGGGTAACCAATCTTTGCGATTGGTCATCCGGTTAATGATGAAGCAAAAAATAACAGTTTGATTAAAAATACAAGACAAAATACGACGATGAGGTAAAAGGAATCAAAACCGAAATCCAAGGATCGTTTCCCTATACCGGGCATATATAGTTCGTTGCTTTGGGGGTGAGTAGGGGAGTAAAAACTATTGAGAAGAAGCTATGCCCGGGTTAGGTACAGTTAAGCAGTGCAGAAACGCTCACTGTGCTCCGCGCCACAGTGTACTCGAGGGATATTTGAAGAATTGGCGAGAAAATAAATCAGTTTGGGATAGGTTCCATGAAAATGCATCGCACCTATCCCAAATTTCCTTCACCATGTTTTTCTCTCCTTTTAGGTGCCTGCTTTGGTCTACCGACATGTTTTAGTCCGCCTGAAGAAGACCGGCCATTCAGTCGAAATGTAGTTCTTCTCCTTTTCCGCCGGCACACCCTTTTTTTGCGACCTTCACCCCACTAACCTACTAACAGTGCCCGGCGGAACCTGGCGTCTTCCTGGTTCGAACTGACTTGAGTAGCACGACCACACCAAATACCTTATTGGGGGGAATACATCCTACTCCCCGATAATACCCTCGCCGCGGACAGGTTTGGCGCAGTTTTAATGGCTGGATGACCAGCAACCTTGGGCTTTTCCGCATTGAATTGGAAGTGGTGAGGGGCGCCCCCTATTGCCATGGAAGTCGCGGTTATCAGGCATTCGCGCAGGTGGGCGAAGGGCGCTTCGCAGGCCGTTCGGTCGGTGCAAGTGTTTGCTCAATATCGGCTATAGTTTGTTCCCCTGACATTCTGGGAGAAAAAAAATATGTTGTTTTTTTCTGGTGCGGCGAGATGTTCAAAAGCTAGGGGAAAAATTGGCACAGCAGGCGCGCCATCCAAAGCAAATGAGCGGAGTAGGACGTAAAGTATTTGACTACACTATGGGCACAGACAAAGCGCTGGCGTCTGTCTCTATAAGTCATACACTCAGAAAAGAAGGAAAACAAAGAGGGAAAGAGATTGAGAGAGGGTATTGTAAAGTTGAAAGAGAGTTGGAATGCAAACCATTACGGCAAAATGTTTAGTGTATGGCGAGGAGATTCAACTAAAGGGGGCGCTTTGTCCAGCTTGCTTTTTACGGAAGTCGGCGTTTACCTGACACAATTCATGTGGAGTGGCTTGTTTTCGTCATATTCCTCAATCGCGTGCTTTGCACATACTCATCAAAGGGCGTCGTCATTGTTCGGCTTGGGCTCGTATTCAATCGGTGCTTTCCTTATTGAACACCATGCACCAGCCAAACGCTGGCGCAGCGTTCGGATGAGAATATAGCCGAGTGCTGCGTCACAAACGAATAAATTATTTAGCTAGACTCGTTGGTGGGCTAGTTGGTTATGGCACCGAACAAACTTGTATGCGCAAACACAGAGAACGAACACAAAGGCGTGGATAAAGACAAGCGTCCCCGTTGGTTTAGTTTTCCAGGTCCCCACCAGCGGCGCAATGGTTGCTCCTCTTCCCCCAAAACGCTGAAAGCAAAGGAACAATCGGCTGTACACACGGATAAGTCGTTGAGCTCAGAGCAGGTATACACTCGAGGAAACAAAACCAAGAGGACACAGAGAAATTGTAGCGTCCCGAAAAGTGTCTGCTGGAAAGATTGGGACTCAAACAACAGAACGAGAGGATAGGGCGTTGCTTATTTGGTTCGTGAGTTCTTCTCCGTGACCAGTGCACCGCCTTGCTTCTAACGATGGCTACGGAAGCCAGGGAGGTGACGACGGGGAGTGGTAGGCGCTGGAGCGCTGCCCTGTTCACGCCTGCCTCACTTTCTCGGCCCTTCGGAGTGGTCTCGGTGTCGTCTACGCCTCTCTTTGTCAGGTAGATGCGCGTCTCCGGACGGTCGACCGCGCCACAAAGGGCGTCGGTGTCAAAAGAAGCCTCCAAGGACTCCATTGTGTGCCGCGTCGTGTACGACAAAGAAACGGTTCGGACCCTGGACGTTCGTTGACCATCTTGGCGTAGCCGTGCTCTTTTGTTGCGTGTATTTTACTCCAGAGCGGTCAAGAATGAAGGTGGACGTCTCACGAACCAGACTCGGAGGGTATTGCCGTAGTGTGTCGACAGTGCTGGCTCTGCTTACTTTCGCTCGTCCCGTGGCATCGACTCTTTTGAGGGTCGTGTCCGCCACATTGGGTTCCATGAGCCCTGCACGACTCTTCGGAGGCTTATACAGTGTCCTCCCATATATATGCGCAGACGGTTATGACGTCATTATCAGTTGCATGCTCGTCATTGACAACGCTCGCTACAAGCGGAAGTAGTGGTGTTGCGAATATAAATAACTCAGGGAGCTGCAGTAATGTTTGGAGGTGAGCTAGTCAGTGGTGCGTAGTAAACATATAAAAAGTACGGCACAAAAAAACATGAGCACAAGTAGAAGAAGGTACAGCACTGTGTCTGTGCACCTTCTACTTGTCCCTGTGTTTTTTGCGATGTTTTAATTATATCTTAACTTAGGGAGCGTTTTCATCTAATAATATGCCTTGACTAGAGCATCCTATAGCGCAATTGCAGATGGCAAGGCAGAGACTCAGAGAGGCCTTTATTTGAAGGCCATCTCAGAGAGGAAGCACGTTCCTCTAGAACTTGGCACACGAATCTGATTTTCTAGCCTCCTAAACTTGGATGTCACAGATCTTTGTGAATGTCACCCATTTGTGGTATTTCTTCTACCAAAGACACTAAGGAGTGTCGTTCCGCAAGATTACCAGACAGTATACTTTTCTTGGAAATATATCAAAAATACTTTGTTTGGAACCCCTTTTTAACGCTCGAGAAATGCGAACATGAAGCAGAAACCATGTAGGTGAGCAAGCGGTACCGCGGAAGATGGCTTGTGTCGCCAAACAAATTATATTAATTTATCGACCGGTAAACATCGATGACTGTTGCGCAAGCATCGAGCCTCGGTTCACTAAGGCTTGATATTTTCCAATATCATGGTTGAATGTCTGTTCGTGTCGAAATAAACAGTCAGACGTAATCGCCGCGGCAGCGAGAGCTTTTTGACGTGAATTGGGGTGATTACGTTTGCAACATCCTAGAGCTAAGCAATTCCTCCTTAGTGCCAAGCAACATGACCCCCGATTTACTTTCCAAAGTAATATGCGTTTCGGTCTTTCAGAAATGTTCTTCGTATATGTCAGTTAATTTCGTATATTAGCGCACAAAACCATTTAGAACGTTAGTATTCTTGAGGAACCAATATTACGGTCAGGTGGTTTATGTGGGAACCAAATCATATTTTTGTTGGACACTACTATATTTCGGACGCAATTTTAATGTCCTGTTTTGTCAACTCGTGCGGGTATGTAATCCATTTAGCAAGTTTCTCCTGGGGGTAACTCCCAAGTCCGAAATGTACCGTCTTAAATCTTTCCACTTCTGCTTTCTTAATTCGTTCACCACCTTCATTCTCTCCCTTCATATTTTTTTTACACACGTTTGTAAGCAGCCATGCTTCATAAGCTAGTCTGGCCACCGTGGGTAGAAAATACTTTGTTTGAGCGCCATTCTGGCAACCGTGGGCGCTCCTTAGAAAGGCTTGACTGTCGGACGATCTACACACGCTAGTAGCAAGATGGCGGCGGCCAGAGGCCCTACTTGCAGACGATTACCTGTACTCCAAGAGTGTAATATGATTCCTTCGGCTCCGAGAGCAAAACGTGTGGATCCATTTAAAAGTCATTAGACCTGAAGGCCCTTGAAATGCCCTTGAGATAGGGGCAGAATAGCTCCTGAGAAAATAGAGGTTATGCGTCAGCCTTTAAGCCATTTGTTTTTATATGCTGTGGGCACTGCGCGTGCGCAGAAACCAGATTCTTGTAATTGTAATTGAGATCTATTACATTGCTTGGTTAAGTGTAATTGTAATTGAGATCAATTACGTTGCTTGGTTAAATGATATCATTGACACAGGGCAGATTTCTGTTGCAAGTTCATACATTAAATGTGTCGTTCCTTTCTTTTTTTTTTTCTCCCTTGCAGTGGAGATGCGCTGTGAGGCCACCGCCATGACAGCCATCATCCTCGTGACGTCATCATTTCGCGGCCGGGTGTACGCCGTGGGTCACCCGCACCAGTGCTACTCCTCGTCCGTCACCGACACTGGTCACGTGGCACTCACGGTTCCGCTCCACGGACGGCAGTGCGGCACCAAAAATTTGGTAAGTACAAGCAGCATGTGTGCGTTCAATGTTTTGGTCATAAAAATGTATGCATACACGGTAGAATTACGAACGAACGCTTACTCACGGTGATGAGATAAAAGGGAAAACATGAGTGTAACGATCTTTCGGGGTGGTCGTTAGTTCTGGATTCTACGATAAGCCTACTTTTTCTCAATACTTGTAGGCTGTGCTATCATAATTACAGGCGTCAGGCGGTTGACGCTCAAAATAACTTCTTTGCGCAAACACATGCGCAGAAAGAACACTTTCTGAAGCCGCCCCTCTCGCTCTTCTCTCTTACATGACGCTGCACAGAACTCATATAAGGATTTGTGTAGGCATTCATGTAGAGCGCTCGTTTTCTTACGTTGTTGCCGATGGATAGGTCAATACGGTTAAAATCTGTGAATCGGACTCTTTCTTGAGCCACCTAGCTATTGCTTCGAATTTCGAAACTTCCATATATAGCGCCATCTATAGGACACCCTTAACCAAGAAGCGTCACAAGCATTGTTTCAGCGGATGGTCCATCTCAAAAGGGGGGTAATGAATGATGAGTACCACGAGGATAGGCGATTTTTATTACCGTGGTTCTAGTAATGTTCGATGTTCATGTAACGATTCGAGTAATATCTAGTGTGTAAAGCTGCAACGTTGTCATAAATATGTCCGCATAATTTCCACAACGAACACAAGGTGCTTCAAAGCTCCGAAGGTGTTTCTACTTGTAGAGTACTCTACTACACATAGTGCCATCTCGTGCTAGATCGTCACAGAAAGGTATTCCTGCCATATCCATTGTGTTCTGAACGAGCTTAAAGTGTAATATCTTCTTTGAAGCACCTTTAGGCGGTGCGTGATTTGCTCCCTGACAGCTCAAAAAACAAGTGCCGTGGTTTCTTACTTTCACGCTCGTCGTGATTTGTCTTTCGGCGTTTTTTATTGGCGAATGCCGCCATCTTATTCGTTTTTATTGAAATTCTCAGTGACTGTAGGTTCTTAAAATTTTTTTGTTGGAATTGAACAAGACGCCTTTAACAACTTACCCTTTTTTAATTTAGAAGTGTTTAGCGGACAGAAGTTTCAATTGTTCCCATTGTTTGTCCCAGGGAAATGGAACCTTCCTGAACAGCATCGTCGTCCAGCATCATCCTTACGTGCTTCAGAGCTCAGACCGAAGGATCGACATCTCCTGCGACTACGAAGAAGTGGAGCGCAAACTGCGCGGGGGCAAGCAGGTCCTCGAAGGGTGAGGGCGCTTTCTCTACGCTCTACATTCATCGCCCCAGAATCTGCTCCAACGGGTGACAACTCGCTTTTGACAGTGGTAGTTGTAAATGCCCCTTCCCGGCAAAAGAAATGCTAAAGTACAAACGCAAAATCCCACTCTACAGTACCTCGTCGTCCCTCGCACATGCACACAAGGTAGCAACGACGCATTTTCCTCCCTTCTACTGACGCGCCCCCAAGCGGACACGAGAAGAAGGGAGGAATGACATGTGTTTCTCCTTCTCCAGGCGGACGGGAGAAAGCTTCCGCCCTCCCGACTCATCTTCTTTCGGTTTCGTTTTTCGAGCAGGTCGCGCACGTTGTTTAATAAATGTTGTTGAGTTGATTGAGCTCCAGCGGCAGCGAAGGCCGCCTGTAATTTCGTCTCCCAGTCCAAACGGGCACAGCATTTTGGTTGCATTGACGATTTTGCCACTGATTTTATCAAAGGAGCAAACGAAGCCGCTAGAAACAGCGAAGTTCCGGAGCAGTGCCAGCAGCGCTACGTACACTGAGCTAAGATGGCCATCTCCGGATTGCGGAACCCACGCGGATCCATGCGGGCCACGCGGAACGATGTGTCCACAGTGGATGTGTCGACGTTGACGACGTTATGGGAATCGCGGAAATTGCGTCCAAGACAAACAGGTTTTGCTGCCTGGGTGCCTTCTGTGCTGAGTTCGGTTCTGTAATCCGATGCCGAGTGTCAACTGGCAGTCAACGTGGCTCTGTATTTCTGCGTGTAAGCAACATTGCAGCAACATCGCGTTGGCAGTGTTGTGCGTTGTGAACAGAATACTGGAATTATCACCGATGTGACCGTGTGTTCACACATCAGTGGTGTAACAACAAGATGGGCTGTCGGGCATTGATGCCGCTGGTCGGGCCGTGATCGGAGGGGGCGGAGTGTCGCAGGTTGACATTCCGCTTTACATTAAAGAGTCTAAGACCACTTGAGGGATTAGGTGCAATCAATCAACGTGCGGATAGTCATGTTGGAACGCTGGTCTGAACCGTAGCTCCTATCGTACAGTGGCCAATGTGACTCTCGGTTGTCTCCTCCCCGAGAGCGATTGCGGACTGGGGAAAGGACTAAACAGTATAAATATATTACGGAAAGTACGTACAGTTTGGAATTTTAGCATTAAGAAAAAATGGTTGGTAAAATTGAAAAAAAAAAAAAAAGAAGCTATCCTCTATTTTGATGTTTAAATATACTACGGTGCCTGGAGAAACTGTCCTCCAAGTGGCGCGCTGGGATGAGCGCTAGAAGTTTTCGAGTTCGCCACGGCGTAGCTCCGTACACTTAACACCTGCCGCAAGTCGCGGCTTTGTCTGCTTTCAAGTTGATCGAAAAGCGATTTCTCTGCCCTTGATGCATCACTTCCTGCTGAGTGAATATCCGCTCTACAGAGGTTAATTCAAGATGACAATTGCACCCGCACACGAAACGCACAAATAGAAAAACAAACACTTCATTAGAAATACTGGCTACGACGTGCCGTGCGGGGAAACAGACGCATGGCTTGGAACCGCATTTTAGCGGCTTGATTTATTGGGTTTCGAATAATTACGGCATGAGCTTTTAGTTTTTACTAAGGGATTCATCCCCTGAACCGTTCAAAATACTCTCAGAATTATGACATTGCTAAAAACAATGAAAGAAAAAGGAACATGCTGAGGATATTTTGTATTGATGAGGCGTTCACCGGGAAATTCCGAAAGTTCGAAACGACCAGTATAAAAGACGGAAACGCGGAGCTCGGAAGTAGTGATCGGGTTCGTCTGGGGGGGATCGGTGGCCGAGTGGTCTAGCGCACACCAGCTCGGAGCACGTGGAGCGAAAGCTCGCGCTGCAGAACCCAGGGATCCTGGGTTCGAGCCCCACCCCTGCTCGTTTCGATCTGGATGAGCATCGTACCGGCGTGCGGTCGTGTATCACTACTGCGTGATGCACGTTAAAGACCCCAGGCTAGCGGCTGTACCCCACTGGCTAAATTTCTCATCTACAGCTGGGAGACTCGTCGCCCCTGTGAGGCAGACCAAGTTCTAGGCTGTATAAACACACACACAACTCAATTTTTGATCGGGTTCGTGTGCTGTTGTATTGATGTTTGTATGTGCCGTGTATGTGTATGCTCTCAATGTAGACGTTCAGCTGATGTTTGTAGCATGCGTAATGTGTCTAAATGTGTGCATAATAAAGGTTCCCCAAGATGCCGAAGCGCAATGGTGTAGGAAGCAAATAAGAGTATTTATTGTAGAGCATGAATTGGACGTTACCTGTCGCCACCTAGCCTAGCTACTTGCAATTCCTCTGCTTGATCCTGCCATCTGGTGGCAAGCGATTTAACCTTCTTTCACGCTACGCGATTTCTGGTTACCACGCAACTGCGGCTTCGAGTTTGTTCTTTGGAGAGCGGCTTTAGGTTTCGCGAATGGGTTTACCAATCCCCCGTGGCGAAGGAATTGTGACTCGAGGAATAGCAAAGGTAAGACGTAAAGTGCGCGAAGTAACTAGGTATCGGTTGTCTCCGTTTAACATCGCAGTGCTGACGACGAGAAGACTGAGGTAACTGCTTTTGAAACGAAAGTCTCTTTGCCTGCGGGGGGAAGCTGGCTTCGGAAATAAACACAGTTCGCGGAAAGCTCGTGTTACGCTTTTATTTGCCGGTCCTCTAGTCCCGTACAAGAGACGTAGCGTCCTCGTTAAGCCTTATTGAGCTCGATTTGCTCGATTCGGGGACGCCATATTGAGATAAAGGCGACGGAGAAACTTTTGCTCCTCTGCTTTAGGGATGAAATTTTCTCCCTTTATGTTGGAACATAGGTTACAAGACCGTTCCTCCCTTTAGGGAGGACCATAGCTACCTTTTTTTTTTTTTTTTTTCTAAGAGTTAACTTCGGCAAGGCTCTCTCTCGTTCTCCTCCTTTCCCCTGTACGCTGTCTCCGTAGCGAAAAATCCGCTTGATTGTGGGGAGGGCACTATCCACCTCTCCGTCATTCCTTCTACATTCACGTACACTCTTAAACAAAAAGGGTATCACCTTACACCTTTTTGTCTGATATAATACACCCCGAAACTTCAAATCGACGTACAGCACCCTGTAGTCGAACAGACGGCCCTAAAGTTTACGAGGGACTTGATAGCGGTGCGATATAACCTTTTAGATAGCTAAAGTACGTATCAAAGAACACAGAAAGAAAACACTGAGATTTTGCAGTAGGGCCAAGAAAACTCCGATTATTATTATTTTTTTTTGTAGACAGTAATACGTATATTAGCTATCCTAATAAGTTTTGCCACACGGCTATCAAGCCCCTTGTAAACTTTTGGGCCGTCTGATCGACTATAGGGCGCTGTACGTCGAATTGAAGTTTTGGGGTGTATTACGTAGGACAAAGGGTGTTAGACTACTCCCTTTTTTCTGAGAGTGTAGTGATTGCTGCAATCACGACAATAGCAGAACCATAACATTGTCTGGAACTCAGCGCGTGTCCTGTGCTTTGTCAACCCCAGCGCGTGGATATATGATCAACATTGGCGGCATATAATCGGCTCCAGGTCACGTGGCCACTTCTTGAGGGGAGAACGCTGCTTGTTTTCATTTAATTTTTTCTGCGACTTCGATTGCCTGTGGCGTAAAACGAGCCCATGTTTTATAGGTCATAAACGCAAGGGTTTCGTTCTAAGCGGTATTTGCGCAAAGTACAGAAATCATTGCATCGCCCCTTTAAAATTAAGTCAATTTGGACGACGCGCGAAAATCCGTTTCTCACCGTATCGCGCTGCGATTTACTACGGAGGTACAAGCAGGTGGTAGAGTTTACAGTAAAAAAAATCAAGAAATAACCTTACCTTAATGAATAGAAAAAAAGAAAACACGGAAAGCTGTTCTGGGAAATTTAAGCCGCCATTCGCAGGCCCTGCGCGCGCAGGGATAAGTGCTGCCGATAGAGGGCGTACGCCGCGTCGACGGAGTGATGGTCGAGTCGGGTGCAGGACCATCTGCTATCATAAAGGCCCGTTCACACTCTTGCGACCTCTTAAACCTGGGTTCCTTAAAACTTCTTAAACCACAGAACACACTGGCGCCATCTATTGGGAAGCAGTGTAAACTCGGCGGTCCGGCATATTTTTTTTTTATTTCTCGCGCATTATCCTTTCTTTCTTGGCTCGAAAAACTTTTGTCAATGTTATAAACGAGCCTTTCTATGGGTATTACGCACATTTGACCTCGGAAATCCCGCAAAACCTTCGCTTTTGTGAAATGCAGTTCTAGAGTCACCGCATAGATGGCGCCACCATGTCAGTGTGTTCCCTCATTCTAGAAACATTTAAGAAGTTGTAAGAGATCTCGTCTCTCTCAGTCGTACTCGGTCGCGAGAGTGTGAACGGCCTTAACCCGAATCGTGCGGTCGTCCCTCGACGCGGCGTACTCCATCTGTCGGCAGCACTTACTACGCCTGCATCGTCTGCAAAGTGGCGTCGTAGATTGCCCAGAACAGATTTCTGTTGTTGTTGTTGTTTTTTTCTTTTGAAGGAGGTAAGTGCATTCCTTGTTGTTGTTGTTTCACTGTAAACTTCTTCCATCTGCTTGCAGCTCTGTGGTAAATCGCAGAGCGATACGTTGAGAAACCAATTTTTGCGGGCCGTCTAAAGTGCCTCAGAAGCGTTACTTCGCACGCCGTAGTACCCGATTTCGGCCTCACCGCTGGTTCTTCGGTTCATACGTGGCACCATTGGCTCAAGGCTGGCACTTCGGCGATAACGCGGCGCGCCACCAAAAACTCATACAAACGCCGAAGCAAACCACCGACTACAACGCCTTGGAGCAAAACTCGCATTAGGCTCAATTTAGGCCCCTAGGATTGCCAAGCTTGTGCAGAGTTATACGTTCACGAGGTTCGTTAAGAAGACGGGGAAGCTTCTGCCCCGCCGTTAAAGCGAAACTCTCCAGGTACGTAAACTGGAACCT